TGGACCAATTTTTATTTGCATATTTTCGGTGAGCACGCCTTTAACTAACAAGCCACCAACTACAGGGCCAACTTCTGTTACTCGAAAAATCTCATCTATGTGAAATTCGCTTGCCTCTTGTTCTAAGCGCTCTTTTTCAAGATTACTTATGCTCGGCGATAGAACATAAGGAATTTATAACAAGATTAAGTCCCGCACCAGTTACGTTTGAAACGCAAAATATCGGAACAACTTTTTCCGATACCTGATTCGATGCTGCGAGATCGCATCATCTGCATTTGTGATAATAACGGCACCTTTCGGCAACCTACTGAAGTCAGAACATGCCTCAGCTCCTGTACAGTTTGTTCCGGACTTGTAATATCAGTCTTGGTAACTACAATAAAGAAGGGCATATCCAACGCACGCACAATAGAAAGATGCTCCTTGCTAGTGCCTGTACAACCGCTGCCTGCAGAAACGACCAACATAGCATAATGAGGTGAGTAGCCCAACAGTGCCTGCACTGTTGTCCGCATGTAGCGTCTATGACCTGCCAAATCCATAAATGTAACCAACTTTGTAGAGCGATCGCTTATTTCTTCTGCCGTCATCATCTCATTATATTTGTAGTTGATAATTGTACCCTATTATAAAGTAAACAGTTTTATTAGATTTAGTATTCACCTATCTTCAAGGATGGCAGAAAAAGAATTTTAATCAGAAGGCAAAAATGAACTAATTGCAGGAGTTCTTAAACTTGTATGCATTTTCCTTTAATAAATTCAGGTGCTATGAATTTCTATAGTTCACTATGCGACTGTGAATAAAAATTTTTGCTCATTTTTTTATGGCAACACTGGTTAATCCACAATTGTTAATTAAAAGTAAAATTTCGTTCAACTAAGCTAGTAGAATTTCTAAATACTGGAGTCTTTGCATTTGTAGCTATGTATAGGGTGATCAATATAGACCTTTGCTTTTAAGTTAAAAACAAAACACAATTTTCATTATGGCGATTTCTTAAATTTTTACGCGCAAATGTTAAAAAAAAAATCGCCAAATTGGCGCGAAATCGCCATATCTGGACAATCTGGTAGACAATGATAATGTTGTCGAGTCGTACAATTCAGCCTTATTTACGACTTACGCAATGAGGCTGAATAGTTTGGGGAATTGCTCTTCTTCAGACTGACGAATTTAATTATCTCAAAAATGTCTTAGGGAGTCTTTTACTATTATTCTATCAGAAATATAGCAAAGTAAAAGGAATGTTATGATATAATTAAATCGTAAATTGAACTAATCACAACTGAAACCAAATTATTAGTCGAGCTATCCTTTCCTACGCTACATTTATATGTTTATTTCTCAGTTTTAAAACTTTAATATTACCTGTGAATCGAACCCAAGAGTTTCGTGTGAAATGCTTGAAGTGCGACCGGACTGAATTTCATGCATGTGCCTAAACATGATCAGGCGTGCCAAACCGCGTCCATTGTCTAATTCACCTTGTGTAAGAACACCCAACAGCGTAGATTTGCCTGCCTCCGCGCCGCCTAGCACTGCAACTCGTATTTCTATATTATGTTGATCATCAGGTATTTTACGGACTAAAACTTCCGCCACAGATCGTCGGGAGCCAACATATTTTCGTCTCAAAACTGATGTGCTGGCACCCAGCTTTTGTGCCATCTGCTTAAGCGTAGCCAACGAGGCGTTCATGTCCTTTTCGTTGAGTCCGTGTAAATGCCCGGAATCAGATACCCCTATTTCATAAACCGCTTCTCCATTGCCTTCACGTAGCCTCCATTTCATTTGTGTCACGAGATGTTCAAAGCGATGCTTTGACGGACTTATCAGTTTCAGTTTATACTCAATATTTCCTAATTGGGGCTCGGGTGGCAAAACGCCACGATCGAAATCTATAATTATCTTATTGTTGTGAACGTCCACTTCCCCTTCACTGCTGCTTCCACTTCCGCATTCAATGTCACTTTTGCGTATACCTCCATTTGACTTCCCGAAAGACTTTCGAAACTTCACTTCATTCTTTCGAGGTGGACAATTGTTATTTGCCTTGTCAATATCACGAATCCCCTCATCGGGATCGAAGAGGTTTAAGAGTCCACAATCCATAGCCTGATAAGTAATGAAAGTTTAAAGCGTGCATGTATATGTACATATGTATATGTATATACACTTGTGGTCAGCTGATTAAGTCAAGTGACATTTTGACTAGTTTTGGCTATTTTTCTTTTGTTTATCTAATGTTTATATTGTTTCTTTATAAAAGTTTAGCACTTTACCTAACTAGCGATAGATAAATTCAAATTTCAAACTGCATACAAAAATTATGAAAATTCAACAAACTTTCACATTTGCACCCAAAAATTGTATTTCGAATTTTTAGAAAAGTTTTGGGTATGTAGTTTTGTAGCCCATTAAATTTTTGGACATTAAAGTGCAAATTTCAAGACGCTAGAAAAGCGCGTTGATTTTTTGTAATGTTTTTTTTTTTTTGCTTTTTTCGGGGCTACGCATTTTCTCCCATACAAACGAAATTGTCGACAAAAATATTAAAAATCATCGCCAAAAAATATATTAAAAATCGAAGGGACTTTCTAGCATCTTGAAATTTGCACCACTAAAATTTAATGAGCTACGAAACTGCATACCCAAAATTATTCTAAAAATTCGGAATAAAAAATTTAAAATTTTCGGGCCCGAATGTTAAACTTTAATAAAAAAATATAAACATTAAATAAACAAAAGAATAATAGTCAAAACTATTCAAAATGTCACTTGACTTAATCAGCTGATCACAAGGGTATAGTATATGTATGTATGTATGTATGTATGTATGTAGATATAGGAAAGGGCATAATAAAGCAATGTGAATTCGATACTATGCTTTAAACATGATTAATTTCTGGTAAGTTTCAGTAGACTCTATGCACCGGAACGCAACAGGTTTTACCCGATAAATACTTTCCCACGACAGTTGGAACCAAACGTTGGCGAGTCGACTTTGAAGTCATCCCGCATCTAAGATATAAGGGACGAATGGCCGGACTACGTAGAAACTACTAAGGGGACTACTAATGTTGAAAAAACTAAACCAACGAACATAAACATACATACATACATACCATGCATGTATTTTCCTATATATTTATACAAATGCATACATACGTATATGAAAAGTGTTAAAATAGTGGTTATGACGTGGAACTTTCAAGTACTCATTCCAAAACAGAAAGAACTTTGAAAAATGTAGAAATCAACTGGCTTTGATGACCTTGGAATCGTTGTCCTTGTTTTTTCCAACGTGAAAAGCACTATTTTTTAATTGGAATTCAAATTTCATGTGTCTTTTTTAATTAACATTTACAATGCACATAGATATTTAATTTACATTCTTTTAAAATGTATTAAGTTAAATACTTGACGATTCGAATTTGTTTCTTCTACAAAACGCGTCTATGTACTAAAAGTGGCGGCGCGACTCTTACAAATAAAAATCGATTTATTGCAACACTACATACATATGTATGTGCATATATTTACATTAGGATGGTCTTTAAATGTAGGGAGCAAATTTTTACATCAGATTTCCTAAGTCTCAACCTCTACGTCGATGGTACTATAGTCGAAGGTATCATATATAAATTTTGGACCCGATTGGATACGATTAAGACGTGTCGCACAGGGGGCAAAATTCAGATTTCTCTATGGAGACTCAAAAAAATTAAAATTAATATTTTTTTTTCGTCTAATAGCCAAAATCGATGCTATCATTGCTGAAGATATTGCATATAAATTTTGGTCCAGATTGAAGTCGGTTAAGGCGTGCCGCATAGGGGTCAAAGTTCAGATTACCCTATGACGACGTCCTAAAGCATAAACAGACGGAAGCGATGATCCGGATCAACTCGGGAATTAACCGCAGTTGATTCGGATTAAGTCCGAGTTATTCCGGATCAACGCTGCTGCCTATTTAAGCTTTTAGCCGACTTCAATCGGGACTAAAATTTATATGTGTATTCCTCGAGATTAGTAGTATCGATTTTGGGCATTAAATGAAAAACATATTTTTAATTTGTTGAGTCCATAGAGGCATCTGATCTTTGACCCCTTCGCGACACGCCTTAGTCGACTCCATTCGGGACGAAAATGTATATATCGTCGTTTAAAGTGCAAGACCGCGTATCAACAAAATGCAAAACCGCGTATGTGAAGTTTTAGAATTTTTTTTTCTAGAGCGTAAAAACACTCATATTTCAAAATGGTGCTCTTTTTTATAAAGAAATCGCATTTCTGGGTAGTATATTTCAGGAAGAATGGATAAGGATTGAGCCAAGAGCTTGTGTGGGCAAATCCAATTTTTGGCAGCCAATGTCAGTTACGCGATTTTGCAGGATGACGATACGCGGTTTTGTACTTTAAACGACGATATAATATCTCCGATCATCGTAGTATCGATTTTGGGTATTATATGAAAAAAAATTTATTAAAATTTTTTGAGTCCCCATAGAGGAATCTGAACTTTTCCCGCTGTGCGACACGCCTTAACCGTCTCCAATGGGGACCAAAATTTATATGTGATATCTATGACAGTGGTGTTACCGATTGAAGGGGTAAGACTGAAAAAAATTGTTTATTTGATTTTTTTAAGGACCAATATTATTTATTTTCTACTTTTTAGTTCTGTCTGAATAAAATTTTGCAATAGATATTAAAATAATTCAACGATATTAATAGAAAGGTGCACACACATGCATTTACATATGTATGTATACATACAAACGAGCACCAATTAATTTTATTTAAAGAAATGGCGTGTCGTCTATTTCCGGTGTAGCAAACGTAGTACATAGGGCGACATCTAGATGTCATCTACCTCGCCCTATTCACTATGCTTTTTTATAGGAGCTTTTCAAAGCTTTGCTTTATGGTGTCGGACACACAACATTGAAAGTTTCTGGAACACATCATTGCAAGTTGATAAAAGCGTTGTAAAATAGGGGTATATTTTTTTCGGTATAGAACAATCCTAGGGGATGAGAGCATAAAATTCCGACCTTACTTTTTCACACGCGTTTTTGGACCACGCTAATGTACACATGTACGTACAATATTTATATTGTATAAGTATATGTTTTATAAAAGTATTATCTTAAGGAGTAATAAATTTACTATATCTATGTGCATACATATTAATATATTTGTGTTAATTCTCTTCAGGTAGGATAATATTTCGTCTCTGTTGAATTCGTAACGCGCGCTGACATTTTTGGACTTTCTTAAAATGCTGTAGCAGATCTTCAAATTTAATGTTGCTTTTATACTGCAGGGAATTTCTTTCCTCGCTATAAATAATTATAATTAACTTTAATTAATTTAAAAAAAAACGTAATAAAAACTTGCAAACCCACATCGGCGTTTGACCCCAATAATTTGGTACACATTGCAAACGATTCTTTAATAAGTTGAAAGCATCTGTCTGAGGCAAAAGCATAAGAATTCCAAATAGCGCGTGTGCTAAGTGCTGCGCATCTGCACAGTTATTTGCTTTCGATACTAAAGTTAGGCGTAAGGCTATTGAAATGCAAATATGTGAAATTACTATTGGTACATAAACATAGCAAATATTCCATGTCATTCCTTACGCGCAAAAATCGGTGATTCAATAAGTTGGACCAGTTTGTCTAATTCGTTCAGTAGTTCCAAAGTAATCTCTACATCACCACTGAAAATATAAGATGCCCAATTTTGAACATTAAAAAATTTCATTGAATAACATTAAAAGAAATGCAATTTGTTTTATGTATAATAATTATTGTTAGTTACGGCTTTTTGCATTTCAGGTGGCGATATGTAATATGCACGTATCGATGGTCCTCTGCAATAACGACAAAATTCAAAAAGTAAAAACTCTTACCACTGTTAGGTGGCTGACGTCTCTATTCCTTGGGGGACTACTGGTATCGCTTATACGAAAGAGCCATGCGATGCGATACGCATAGCATTCCTCTTTCGTATCACATTACAGAGTAGCCCCCTGGTCTAATCCTTAAGTACTTTCTGTAGTAATTACTACCTATTTTATTAAATTTTTTTTATTTTTATTAAAAACAATGTAAGGATCAAGTATGGATTAGAAAAGGATTGGATACATGAGTCACTTAACAGTAGTAGGGGATTTTATTTTTTGAATTTTCAGTTGTGTCGTTATTGCAGAGCATGATAAAAAAATAGGAAGGTAGAACCGCTGAGGAATTTTTCGAATCCTTGACGTTTGCAAACAATTTAATTTTAAAATTTTACAAACAAACAAACACACATTCTCATTTTCAATCTCAAACAACAACAACTTTGAACAATTCCCTTTTTTTACTCTCAATTTTATATGATTATAAAATGTTGGCAAACTTA